ATCTATCTATCTATCTATCTATCTATCTATCTATCTATCTATCTATCTATCTATCTATCTATCCATTTCCGGTGTGTGATCGTAGGTAGTAGACGTGGACTGAGAGTGGCGCTAGTTTCAAATGGTGATCTTTCCCTTGTGTATTTCGGTTTCAAACAACTTTCCAACTGTTCTGAATGCACTAAAGCAGGTAAGTCAGGTAAGAGTAATTTGTTTTTTTTGTGTGAGTGTTAGGTAAGTAAGTGTTTGGTTAGACAGGTGTGTGTGAGGAGGCATGGCGTCCTCCGAGGCGCCTGCTCCGTCTATCAGGCAGGGAGTCAGGATCGTTCCTCCAGACCCCACTATAACTGTGGAGGAAGTTTTGTTAGCTGTGGGAGAGCAGGTAGGATATGGTAAGTTGTCTCATGCTTCGCGCATGAATAAGGCTGTAGTTGTGTTTTTGAAGGACGAGTCCACCGTCCATCAGCTGGTTGAGTCCGGAGTGATTGTGAGGGAGATGTTAGTGCAGTTTAGCCCGTTAGCAGTGCCTTCTACCCGAATCACAGTATCCGGAGTTCCGCCGTTCATCCCGAACGCGCTGCTGGAGAACGAGCTCCGCAGGTTCGGAAAAATGGCGAGTGGGTTCCGGACTGTTAGTTTGGGTTGTAAGGACCAGAAACTGAAGCATGTGCAGTCTCTGAGACGGCAGGTGTTTATGTTTTTGGAATCCCCCACGCAGACACTGGAGGTGTCATTTCGCGTTAAACACGGTGATGGGCTATACATGGTTTACGCCAGCTCGGGACACATGAAGTGCTTTGACTGTGGAGATATCGGGCATAAACGAGCAGCGTGTCCACACAAACAGCAGCAAAACGGGCAAACGGTTGATAACGGAGGTGGCGAGCCAGATGCCCGTAGCCCGGGACCTGGTGGTCGTGAGCCCGGTGGTCGCGAGCACGGTGGTCTTGAGTCACGTGAATGAAACTGGGAGCTCTGTGACTGTTGTGGAGGCTGAGGTAGAAGAATATATTGTTGAAACGGAGACAACTGAACTGATTGAGGTAGAGAAGCAGCAGGAGGCTGCAGAAAATGTAACTGAGACACAGGTAGGGAGCACTGAAGACAGAGCAAGTACCAGTGGAACAGGACAGGGAGAAGTCTGTAGTCAGACTTCATGTGCTGATGAGATGGATTATGAGACTGAGTCAGACACAGAATCCATCAGTGAAGTGGTGAGCAAAAGGATTGACCTCTATTCTTTAGAGGAAATTAATGAGTTTCTGGATGAAACATTTAACAAATCTGTGAAAGTCAGTGAATACTTTGAGGACACAGATAAATGTATTAAATCTGTAACCATACTAAAGAGGCTGGTTAGCAATGACCTCCTAGACGAAAAGAGGTGTTACCGTCTAAATAAACATCTGGCAATCCTTAGGAAGGCTCAGAGAGGAAAAACTGTCAAAAGGTCCAAGAGAAAGATTCAATATGAATAGTCACATGGTGAATTTTTCTTGCTACTGTTTAATGCTGGGTTCAATCTGTACCCTTTTTCTCCTTTTCCATATCTCCATGGAGAGTCTAAAAATAGGATCTTTGAACATAAATGGAGGGAGAGACAGACATAAGAGGGCTTTAGTATCTGAGCTGGCTACTAGAAAAAAAGATAGATGTGTTATTCCTACAGGAAACACATAGCACTCCAGCAGATAACACAGATTGGGCCTTAGGGTGGGGGGGGTCGTGGTTCCCGAGCCATGGCTCAAATCCGAGTGCAGGTATAGCCATTCTGTTTGCAAAACACATTGTTCTATCACAGGTAACAGTTTCTGAGAACCGGGGCGTATACAGGTAGTGCAGGCTACAATAAGAGAAACGCCTTTTGTGTTTGTTAATGTATATGCTCACACCCCTGCTGGTAGCCGGATCAGCCTCCTAAAAAAACTTAACGAAACATTAAAACAGTTTAGTAGCAGCTCAGTTGTAGTGGTGGGAGGAGGCTGGAACTGCACGACTAATCATGCAGTGGACAGGAATGGGAGAGAGCCCAACCCATTATCAGCCTCCTTTTTAACAAAAATAATTAAAGAAAACAGTCTGGTAGATGTGTGGCGGGCACTCCATCCAAATACCAGACAGTATACTTGGGTGAAAGTTACAGAGGGCCGGGTTAGTACAGCCAGACTAGACAGGATTTATGTAGCACATGTAGCAATAGGCTAACTGCAGCCATGATATCACCGGTTGGTTTTTCAGACCATCACTTAATAACTGTTAATTTTTCTTTAATGGTGCCTCCTCACAGATCTCCTTATTGGCATTTTAACGTAAGATTAATCCATGATAAGATTTTCTGTCAGTCTTTCACTGAGTTCTGGGGTCAATGGAGAAGGAAAAAGTCAGAGTTTGAAAACATAGGTCAATGCTGGGAGGTGGGGAAAACACACATTAGAATTTTTTTCAGCAATACACATCACACACAGGGGCAATAGAAAGGGATCAGGTTGAGCTATTGGAAAGGGAACTTCATGTATTGGAAGAGGGCATAACTAATGGGGTGGACAGAAATAATGATGACAAAGTAACTTGGGAGAAGAAGAGGGCATCATTAAGCAGGTTTTTACATGAAAAAGCTAAAGGAGCTTTAATAAAATCTAGAATCCTATCTATTCAGGACATAGATTCACCTACTAGATTCTTTTTTAAGCTGGAAAGAAAGGTCAGGCAACATAACCAGATGATGCACCTTAAGAGCTCCAATGGGTCGGTGACCAGGGACCCGTCTGAAATGAGGAGGCTGGCCATAGATTTCTACAGCAACTTGTTTAGAGAGGATGAGTGTGATCCAGATCGTGTGGAGGAGATTCTGGAGGGACTTCCTCGTTTAGCGGAGGCGTCGGCAGCCTCCTTGGAGTCCAGGGTGCAGTTTGAGGAGCTGTCTGCAGCGGTGGGCCAGCTCAGCTGTGGTCGGGCGCCTGGTGTTGATGGACTTCCAGCAGAATTTTATAAGACATTCTGGAGCGTTATTGGAAAAGACCTGATAGACGTTTTTGAAGGATGTTTGGACTCTGGGATTTTACCAACAAGCTGTAGAAGGGCAGTACTGACGTTACTGCCAAAGAAAGGAGACTTGGGACTTCTACAGAACTGGCGGCCGGTATCTCTACTCTGCACGGACTATAAAATTCTGGCCAAAGTACTGGCGAATAGACTTAGAAAATATATGGACTCAGTTGTAGACTGTTACGGTTTGCTAGTGGACCCCAACGCAGAGACGGAGGCAAGGTGGCAGGTTCGAAAAAAGATTTAATCTCTTAGGCAGACGAGACAGGAAAACTGGCCGACTTGAAGGAAGGAGCTTGGAGCTTGGAGCTTGGAACCCTGAGGAACAAACATAGAAAATTCTCTGGCAGCGTGGTGCTGAGACAAGCGGGCTTAAGACTGCAGTCTTGATTGCGCAATCCGGTTCAGGTGTCCAGACTGCAGCACCAGCTGAAGTCAGCCACGCCCCCTGTCACAGACTGCTGCAGGGAAACAGAAAAAGGGGAAACACCAAAACAACCCCGAACATGACAGTACCCTTCCCTCAAAGGGCGCCACCCGGCGACCCTCCAGGCTTATTTGGATGACGAACATAGAAGTCCCGTATGAGTCCAGGGTCCAGAATGAAAGAGCGTTGTACCCAGGAGCGCTCCTCAGGTCCGTACCCCTCCCAATCCACCAGGAACTGCAGACCACGCCCCCGCCGACGAACATCCAACAACTGACTCACAGAGAAGGCAGGGTGGTCATCCACAATCCGGGGGGGCGGAGGGGGGGCGGACGGAGGGGAGAGAGCGCTCGAGGAAACAGGTTTCAGAAGTGAGACGTGAAAAGAGGGATGTATGGACAGAGAGGCGGGTAATTTCAACATGACAACTGCGGGATTAATGACTCGCTCGATTTCGAAGGGGCCAATGAAACGTGGTGATAGTTTCTTCGACTCACACCGTAGGGGTAGGTCCCGGGAGGACAGCCAAACCTTCTGTCCAGGCCTGTAGTTCGGAGCAGTCACGCGATGGCGATCCGCCAGCGCCTGATTACGTGTGGCAGTACGCGAAAGCGCTGCCCGGACCTCATGCCACACGCGCCGAGCCCTCCTAAGGTGTCCCTGAATGGAAGGCACTGCAACAGCCTTCTCCTGGGTGGGGAAAAGCAGAGGTTGGTAACCATAACATGCCATAAAGGGTGACATACCTGTAGCAGAAGACACTAAAGTGTTGTGGGAATATTCCACCCAAGACAGGTAAGTGCACCAGGAAGCTGGGTGGTCGGCTGCAACGCAACGTAAAGAGGCCTCCAGATCCTGATTTGCTCGCTCCGTCTGACCGTTAGTTTGTGGGTGATATCCCGATGACAAGCTGACACTGGTCCCCACCGCCTGGCAGAAAGCCTTCCACACCCGCGAAGTAAACTGAGGACCTCTGTCAGAGACGATGTCCTGAGGGAGTCCATGAAGCTTAAAAACATGCTGAACCAAAAGATTAGCAGTTTCGAAAGCTGAAGGGAGCTTTGGAAGGGGGACGAAGTGGACCAACTTGGAAAAACGGTCAACAATAGTCAAAATAACCTCATTACCTTCCGACGGGGGGAGACCAGTCACAAAATCCACAGCAATGTGGGACCAAGGGCGATGCGGGATAGGAAGGGGCCTGAGTAGTCCAGCAGGAGCACGATGAGAAGCCTTGTTGCGTGCACAGACGGAACAGGCAAGGACAAATGCCTTGGTGTCAGAGGACATGGATGGCTACCAGAATCGTTGTCTTAGCAGGGCGAGGGTGCGGTGAAAACCAGGATGACACGCCACGTTAGATGCATGTCCCCATTGAAGGACTGCTGACCGGGCTGTGGATGGCACAAAAAGAAGCCCAGGCGGACACTCAGAGGGAGTGGGAATGTTACCTTGAGCTTGTAAGACACCTCTTTCAACCTCCAAAGTGGCCGGTCCCACCACACATTAAGAGGGAAGAATAGTGTCCCCTGGAGTAGCGGTTGAGGTAAACGGGGTAAACTGGCGAGACAAGGCATCCGGCTTGATGTTCCGTGATCCAGGACGATAGGTGAGCGTGAAATTGAACCGGCCCAGGAAGAGCGCCCAACGAGCCTGGCGAGAATTCAACCTGCGGGCAGAACGGAGATAGGATAAATTCTTGTGATCAGACCAAACAAGAAAAGGTTGAGTCGCCCCCTCCAACCAGTGCCTCCACTCTTTCAGGGCCAGAACAACTGCCAAAAGTTCACGATTCCCCACGTCATAGTTCCTTTCCGCTGGAGAAAGTTGCCGTGAGAAGAACGCACAGGGATGCAGTTTCTGATCCAAAGCTGAACGTTGGGAGAGAACGGCTCCAACTCCAGACTCTGACGCGTCCACTTCCACCACAAACTGAGCAGCTGGATCAGGGTGACAAAGAACTGGGGCAGAACAAAACAGATGTTTTAATCTGACAAAAGCATGGTCAGCTTCAGGGGTCCATGAAAATGCAGACTTAACAGAGGTCAATCTCGTGAGGGGAGCGGCAACTTTACTATAGTTGCGAATAAACCTGCGATAGAAATTGGCAAAACCTAGGAATCTTTGCAACTCTTTACGGGAAGAGGGCTTGGGCCACTCGGCGACAGCTTTAATCTTAGCTGGATCCGCCTTGATTTGCCCCTTCTCCACCACAAATCCTAGAAAAGGAACAGAGGAAACATGAAATTCGCACTTCTCGGCTTTAACAAAAAGTCTGTTTTCCAAGAGCCGC